TTAAGAGAAACTACTTATAATTTATAGTTTATACGGAGGAGACATTGAGTTGAGGTGAGAAGCTAACTTATACACGTCGTGACATACTGAAATGTTTTATGCTAATCGTTGACAATATTATTCGTTGATGCTCAATGCACGTTATACAAAAACTTTTGTTTATAACTTAAGTTTCAGTATAAGACTGTAAAAATATTATTTTATTTGTTTCGTGTACTGGTTTAATCTTTTATGCAGTTATAATAAATAATAATATGAAGATAGTGGAATTAAAACCGGACCATGAAATAAGAACAGGGAAAAAGCCTCCCATTTGAAGTTTGTCCGTGAGGGGACAATCTTGTTTTAAGGAAGTTGTATAAATAATATGAAACGCCAATGGAAAACATAAAATATTATATAAATTACGCTTGTATTATTATTATTTGTAATGGATTTAAATACATCAGCTGACATTTTTATTAAATCCTATGATGAATAAAATTATGTTTTAAACACAACACATAAAAAATTCTTTTTTTTTTAATTGCAAATAAAAAAAAAATCCAGAGTATTATAACTCTAAAGGTAAATTAAAAAATATATACCACCGACTGAACTACGATTTTTATCATCTGACCACAGTATATTATTATTATCATTCATACTTTGATCTTTGGGGTGCATCATATACATTATGTAGAATATAATAGCAGTATAAAATAATGTAACGTTCAAAGCCACGCGCAATATAAAAAAAAATCATAATAACTATAAAACAAAATGAAAAAAAGAAATTCTAACTAATAACAATAGATTGGTATTTAAGACGCGAGTTATTTTAACAATTATTAATATCCATAATGCTTGATAACACTGAATAATTATTTATATTATAACATTTTAATTTTGAATAAATTTAGGCACGGGGAAATTAAAAATATATCATTTGAAGGGCAGTATAATGTTTACGAATTAAAGTAACGCACTTTATAAATATTAAAAAAAAAAATAACAGAGCCATTTAAGGACTTGCCGATTGAAAATCACAATAAATAGAGAGCGCAGTTTTATAATTTCTCTCCACTTTGAAAAAAAATTAAAATACTACTCGTACTACGCTTCGCTCATCTCGGCGCATGACACGAGGTGCTCAAACGGGGTTTTTGAGATTTGCGGTGGACATTTTTGTTTATAAATAGTTGGTATTGGAGAAATCATTAATAGAAAGTATTTATTGTTTGGTTGCCATTGGTTAACCGGGCAGATCAGGTGCAAGCATGCATAAAATAACATTTATGCACATTGCCTACTTGATAATATGCTGTCCCACATTTTAAGCGATCCTACGTAGTCGCATTGACTAACAGAGAGGCTGATGTGCACCCAAAAAGAGGTGAACAATCACAATTTTTTTTAAAAGTCGTAATTTTTTACTGGAAACGAAGTGCACGGGGTCAGCTAGCATTACGATCACGAGGTCTGTATGGAAACAATAATGTGTTCCTATAGATACGCATAAAATTGCTGTATGAAACAGCATTCACTGTAACTATCCATGCTTTTTTTTTTTTTTACTTAACTGACCGACTGCATCCATAATGAAACACAATACAAACATTCCGTTACCGTCAAACAAACACAATACGTGTATATTATGGATGGCTTCGTACCAGGAATCTAAAATTGCGGTGAACATTTGCAAGGGGCTCTGTACAGTGTATAATATGTATCGCTTGGTCGTGGACGGTCGCGGTCGTCGTACTTGACTTGACTATACGTTCCGGGGACCCAATTATACCGAAGCCGATAAATCAAACGAAGCGTCGTGCGTGTTCGTCTCATACCCCATTAACCGTAACAAACTTCTTTGAACGCTTTCCAATTAATCAGCCCGGCCGACTTTGTGGGCTCTATTAAGTGCGACCACCGCTCACAGTACTATACGAAATATGTATATTATAATAATATAATGCGCATTACGAGTACCTACCTACCTATATACGTAAGTTTCGTTTGGCAGGGAAAATACAATAAAATTATATTATTTCCGATATTATATTTTTCCCATACTCCAATATTGGCAACCTACGGCTGATCTGGAAAAAGTACAACTGTTAACCCAGTAAAACTGCGGTAACATTAAAAGAAAATATACCACTTAATAGTTCCACACCTTGGATTTTTATGTTTTTTTTTTTTTAAATAAACCAATTAAATAAGTAAATAATATTTTGAACTAAACAATGTCTTAAACATCTTATAACTTTTTATTTTTATTTTTTGCAACAATATATTATTATGACTTTTGATCATAGTGCATATTCATCGCATATCTATTGATCTATTGAATAAATATTTATTTTTTTTAATAAATCAGCATTAAAAGTTTAGACAAATGGACCACAAGTCAAGCGGGTTAATAATATCATCAGCTATATTTATTTAATATTTGATAAATTATAATACAATATTGCTGTAATGCACATTATGATGTTCAATAAAAAGTTAATATGTCAAAACGACCTTTGTGATTGAGACATTATTTCTGTAAGCAGCACAATATATTAATATTATAGTTTATTATATATCTATCTACACGTCTTTGTACAAGGTACATAGGTATAAATGTAACACACTGTGCATACTTTAATAATTAAGCTTACCTACACCTATTTTAAGACTGAAATATTATACTTAATGCAAAATATACAATTTTAGAACATTCGATGATTACTATTAATCTTTGTATACACTATATTTGTGTCATTTACCACGGTGGTTAGAAATGGGAACGATTAAAGAACTTATTAAACTATTAGGTATAGCAAGATATTTTTTTTTAGAATATTTACGTTGGTTATAGACAAAATTTCTTATAAATACTGTTAACACACTGTAAAACTCCGATTGCTGTGATATAAGTCAAATTTGTCCACATTACAAAATTATTATCCTACATTTTTTTTCGTTGTAAAATAGGATCTCGTTTTCAGGTACTCAAGATATGTGTCACCTTGTATGCTTATTTTATTTCGGTTCTTGTTTGTGACATGACGATGTGTTGAAGAGATGACGGATGATCACAACATACTGTGCAGTGAAATAATTGAAAACAATATATGCAAAATGCGAAGTGCAGATTAAAATGTGTATTATCTTTACTCTATGGAATACATTGCAGACCAAAGCAGTGCCTACCTAAACCCCATACTCAATGATACGTGAGTACAAAGGCGACGACTTTACACATTTAAACTATGGTCGTTTGAGCAGTAGGTAGCTCTATATGTATATCTTATATCCACATTATTCGCCGTCGAGTGTTTGCACAATATCTGTTTGAACGTGTTAGGTTACAATAACGGACGATTCAACGTATAAAACTCATTATTTATAAACACAGTGTACCCAAACCAACAGAGTGATCGACAAAAGATAACGTAATATATTATATTCACGTTACACGTGATTATGTTTCTTTGAAGTTTTTTTTTTTTTTTTTTTTTAATTATTGACTTAGTCAAAAAAAAAATGAAACCGCGGCAACTCCATTAGTTCGATTTATTATTGAATATGTATTTCGCATTCAGTAAATTGACAAGCTAATCGGAGTACAGACTAAGTTTTTTAAAGTTTTTCTCCTTGTTCTGCATTTAAAGGATAAGCACTGTGTCTGTATTAACGCATAAAATTGGATCTATTGTGCTATATACTTTAAAGGTGTCGATTGCAGAGCTCGTAGTCGACATTTGCTAGAGATAAACTTCGGGAGAATTAGAGTTCATCGAGTGGTACGAACAATTTGGTTGGAAATAATTTACTTATAGTATAAATATTCCACAGCTAAATTCAGTTTAACAAAAATACTTCCATTTCCAATATCGTATATAAATATAAATAAAAATATAATATGCAATATTATAAAAGCACGTTATATTGTTGTATTCATCTTTGAGGTTAGGTTAGTTACCAAACTTACAAATTTTAAAATTCTAGCACCATCATGAAACCAAGCATTACAATGGATATAAGATTAATGTTATATTATAACCAATATTATAACAAAGGTTATAATAATAAAAATAATATAATTTATTATGTCCTAGTTTTCATATTTTAATTATATACCCGCTTTTCATTGCACGTGTTAAATGCAATATATTTTATGATAGAAATTAAAAAAACAATGCAATCATTTAAGGTTGAAGATGTTGCATTTTTAGTATAAAAATAATTGCACAAAGATAATTAACATCCGAAGAAAACAAAAAAAACAGTATACGTTGTAGGTACATGAGTGATCTCAATAAAGCATTTTAATTAACTGATTTATTACATATATCACGTGAGTAATAATGTACACCACGCATTTTTTAGAATCAAGTATTATTGGCCAATTAAACGATGATTGTGGTAAAATTGTTTGTTAAATTAAATATCCAAAGCCAAAAGTTGAATCCATCATTAGCCGTTTCTCAAATGTGTTATCATGCGGACCATACACGATGAATATGAAGGTACTTCGATAATATGTTGACTGTTTTTTATTGATATCAATTGTATGGGCAGCTTAATACTTCAGTTGAGTATTCATAAAACGAGTTTAAACCTAAGTTATCGTGGTAAAATTACAGGTACAACATTTTTAATAGATATTGGATCTGACGTTTATTATTCCATACAGTTACAAAGCCAACATATCATCAGCATAGGCAATTTAAAATTGTATGCTGAAAACAGTGCAGTTATTGATACGTTTGGGCAACGAACTAAAACTGTTAATGTAAATTTGAGACGTACACATTTACCTAGACATTCATTTTATCCAACACTGCTGGATCAATTATAGGAGCTTACTTTCTATATAAACTAAATTAATCAAAAAAAATTAAAAAAATAAATTGGTTGAAAAACATAATGGTAAGTTAGTTGATAACATTACACACTTATCTGCATCAGGAATAGTATAGTATAGTAGTGTTTATCTTATACAAATTTGAAATTATGATAGTAACCACATGTATGCAGACATATTGCAAGAAATCCCACAAGTTACAACACCTCAAGAATGCATGTCCACGATTCACCATAATACTTATCATAGAGTCATAACAAAAAGTTCTCCTATACATGAACGTCCAAGAAGATTACCAGAAAATCTTCTAATAGCAAAACAGTTTCAAAACATGGTTAAATTAGGCATCTTAAACGATTCCATAAAACAAACAAAGAAATCGGATATCATCAAATGGAATTACATTTTAGTAGAAGCATTCAACCTGAGTAAACTTGACCAGGAAAACGCTTCATTGCTTACACATACAGTAAACGATGCCACAATAGCAGTTTTAGTAGACACCTCCAATTTTGCTATGGGAGCTATACTCGAACAACAAGAAATAGACAACAATGATAAGGACATTTGGAAACCATTGGATTACTATTCCAAACTGAAACACAAAAACAATACAGTACGTATGATAGAGAATTGCGTGCAATGTACTCAGCAATAAAATGATTTTGGCATTGGATCAAGGGACGAAATTTTACCATTTTCACTGACCATAAACCATTGATCTATACTTATTAACAAAAATCTCATAAAGCATTGCTAAGACAAATTCGACAAATGAATTTTATTAGGCAATTTACCACAGACGTTCAACATGTGTCTGGTAAATACAATATACCTGCTGACTTCTAATGAAGAATAGAAGAAATCGGATTTCCAGATTAAATTGACTATGACAAATTATAACAGCAACAAGAAACGGATGAAGAACTCAAACATATTTTACAACCAAGTACAAGTACAAGATAACAATTAAAAGATTACAATAATGTTCCAACACAACTTATGTATACCTACTTTGACACTCCTACAGAGTTAATACGTCCATACGTACCAAAGAACTTCAGACGTGCAATTTTCAAAATTATATATGAAATAGCCTACCAATTAAGTAATAACGGGGGGGGGGGGATTTGGGTGTTGTATCTCTTCCCCCAAGTGACTGTTTTTTTTTTTTTTAATTTGTCAAAAACATTTATGTATTAATTTTATTAATGTATATTTTATATTAAAATCTATGGAAAAAAAAAAAACAAAAAAAATAAATTAAAAACGGAACATTTTACGCAAAATCAGTTTTCGACAAAATTAATTTTGGTTTTTAGTGTAACTCTAAAACAAATGCCGTAAATACATGACATTTTCACTGAATCTTATATTATATTAGCATTTTCTTTACACTATAACATATTCAAAATATTTTAACTTGTTTTGTGTTGTTTACGAACATTTTCAGTTACCAATTTTTTGTCGTTTTTTTTTTTCTATAATTAATGTCAATAAAATTGTATTCGTTATGTCAAAAAGCCTAAAAATGTTAAGACAATGCTTTTGATATATTGTTACAACAGCAGTTGGAAAAAATTAAAAGTAGGTACATATTCATATTATTTTTTTTTTTTATAATTACAATATAAAGTTCGAATTTTGACAAAATGATCAAATTTAAAATTTAAAACGTATGAAAGGTTCAACTTTTATAGCTAAAGACGACCATAAAAATAAAAATGCTGCTCAGTTGTAGACATAGGCCTATGAACTAATGGACAGCGCATTCCACTTCGCCCTGTCATCAATTATAGGGAATCATATAACGGAGAAAGAAAGCAGAGAAAACGAAAAGAGAAAGAACATTAAGTAGTAAATCATGGAGGAAATACTTCACTTTTTTTCTATTTGCTCTATTTGCTATCAACCATAAACATATATATAATATAAATAGGTAACAATATGATTGTCACCATATGACACCCATAAGTTTGGTAACATCAAATCAGTTATTATGTATAACACAATTTTTATTTGACAGTAGTCACACTGTAATTTACCACTTTGTTTCATTTCTCGCTCACTCTATATCTTATCCCTGGCTTCTCTGTCTAAGGGCTGTCCATTAGTTTATAGGTCTATGGTTGAAGGTACCACGGATAAAAAGAAAATAATTCTCAACTTATAATATAAGGTAGAGTAGTAGTGTGTCCCGACTTTGTAAATATTTCAAGAGTTATCAGCTAGATTCACCATAAGTCGAGTCATTTCCCCATATCATAACTTTATTTATTATGATGAAAAAAAAATATAAATATTAAAATAATAAAATAACAATAACGAAGTGATAAATGAGTATATTTCACAGGTTTGTCTATTCAAAAAAATGTTTATTTTTTCGTATATATAATATTCATTATTCATTAATAATTTTTGTTATTGTAGATCATACATAGGTTTTACTGCACCATTGAACTGATCCTCAAACTTTGTAACGAAATTCTAAAGGACTTGTTTGCGAACGTATGATTTGTAGACATACATATGATAATATTGCAGAAGCTATTGATAAAATACTTAAGGAATTTAAGATTCATAAAAAAACTACTATCATAGTTACAGACAATGCTTCAAACTTTGTTGAAGCTTTTAGTAATTATTTAATTATTTAGTATATAATACTTAATAGTTAAGAGGACGCTATACCCACATATGTTAAAACATGGCGAATTTGCGTTCAGCATAAACTGTGTAGTGTTGTAATTTAATATTATAGTAAATTGACCTTTATACAATTTAAATGTAAAAATATTATTTAATATTACTTGTCGGTTTTTTTTTATATTTTAATTTTAAAGCTAGTAATGACCATTCATAAACGCTTATAATTAAAATATAAACAAATTGACTAGGTTATAAATAATTTCTTGCCTTTAAATTTTATAATAAACAAAGTCTATGCTGAACTATGCTGAACTATGCTAATGGCGATGTTGTACTTTAGTAAGTCGGAGACAACACATGCGGGTGTAGCGATAGTAGATTATAATATTACGTATGTAATTAATGGTATTTAGTGTATATTTTATACCTACATAATCAAAATGTTAAGTTGTTACTAACTAACTATAATATTTATTGCATATTTGCAATATTTTTATTTTCATATTTGCATTATTCCAAATGTTACTATAATAAGTTATATTTTAATAAAGGTTATCTTTTTTAGAGTATACAATAATGATAATTGTGATAGTAAACTGGAATTTGCTGACTGATGAACTTTTTTTATTGTAAAAAGTGTCTTATAACAGAAAAAAATAAATAGTAAAAAAAGCAGGTAAGTGGATGTCGCTCTGCTGTACAGTAGATTACAAGTGCGTCAATGTATAATTGATTGTATTAAACCTGAATTCAATGATATTCTATATTTCTATCATTGTATAAGAAAAACTATTCTGAGCGGAAACGGTTTGTCAGCCTAAATACTAGGCTACAGATCTAGGCTAGGTACTGGGTTTAAATGGGTTTTGAAAAACCAATTATGTTTTAATATATATACCTATTTTGGATTTCTAGCAGTTTTTATCAGAGATATTTATTTTATTTAAATGTAGTGTTTGCCACGTGAAGTCAGATTGTTCGTTTTGTATACCCTTCGTCGATATCCGGCTTCGTGCCACGTGTGAAGGGATGAAACCCCTCTAACAGCCTATACTAACTAAACACGCAACATACCACTGCCGGACTAGCGTTTAGTAAAATAACAAAAACGATAAGAATATCTCATTTCTTAAACTATGTTCCATCGTCTCACATCGGTTTGGAGGGATGGACGTCGTTAATTAAGGGTGGCGTTTGAAACGGCACGGTCACGATGGACCGGCGTCCGAAATAATAACGCTTGGGTTTTTCGTTATTACATCTTATCCTGTATTTATACACAAATATATTTTGTACAATGTGGGGGCAGCGAGGATCACGGGTGTGACGGTTGGTCTATGGAGACGGACCGTCGCGGTGAGACCTCGGCACGGCCAGCAATTGCTAGGCCCTAATTACAAATATGAAGGGAATGTTTGCGGGGGAAACGGACGATAACAGTCGCCGTATGGACGGGGTCAGTATACCACGGCGCGTGACTCGTAAGAAGCGGCTACTGTGATATACTAGACCCGGGTTTCGACACAACTTGATCAAGTGGCCGTAGGAGGGGACGTATGGGTGGTGTTTTAGTCTCCGACTGTTGGAGTCGACGGCGACGGTGGATACCGGCGCAGCGCGGCAACTGCTTGGCTCCTGGTACTCCGTGCGGCGGGTACTTGCCGGTCGGGAAGGCGTGTGTGCGGCTGGTTCTCCGAGTACGGCTCCGTGGACGTATTGAAATGCCGTCTACCTCGACGTGGCTCTCCTGCCGGTTGCGTGTGGCGGTCGACGATAGGTTGCGGTTTTGAATGATTCGGGCTTGGGTCGACTTGTGGCCGGCGTTCGTCGTTCACGATATCCCGCTGGTTGTCGGCGACTTATGACGGCTTCGTGGATCGTCAGGTCTTCGGGTCTTCACTTCTTCTGGTGTTGAGATGTTGAAGGTTGGTGTGTTGAGAGAAGACTGATTATCGGTGCGGTGAAAAAGTCCGGTATATATACCCGGCCCCGTACCGACTAGTAAACTCCCGTGTTGCCGCCGCTGTCGTTGTGTTTAGGTTCTGTGCGGGAAGTGGTGTCGTCCGCACAGTTTTGGGGCTCTAGGTATGGGGATGGTTTTGTTCGATGGGTCTTGTTCTCACCTTTGGATCCCTTGTATTCCAGAGTGTGGAACAACCCCGGACCCTCGTACTGAGGGCGCAAAGTCATTCCGCCGGGCTGTGCTACCGTTCTGGGCCCTGATTGGTGGACCGTTTTATATGTATGACGGTGTACTGTTACACGTTCACAGGTTTTTTATTTATGTTAAAAAAAGTATAGAATTATAGTGTAACGAAAGAAATTAAAGACAGTCCAAGTGACGTGCGCTCGTATATATTGGATGTTATGCGACGTAAACGATTCGTTATTAGATAAAATGTTTTCTAGGGGTTGGGCGACGATAACATAATAGTACAAAGATTTATGGCGATAGATGGGGCGGGGCGTAACTTTTATTTTTAAACTTACTTTAATGTATTATGATTTATGAGTATTTAATAATAATTACTGGTATACTACTTGAGTAAATCTTCGTTCATTATAAATTAGAGTATTCGAGCTATATTAAAATTGATTATCTCAACTAAGGTGTGTCCACATTTTGACATTTTATGACGTCTTTGCTTTGGCACATAGAGTCAAAAAACGTTACGTTATTTATTTATGTTTATAAATGGTTGCCATGGGTTTTAAAACTATTATAGGTAATAATATTTTTTATGTCTTTGCTTTGGCACATAGAATCGAAATCGAAAAGCGTTACGTTACGAAAAAAATTGCAAAATATAATTTTTCTAATCCGAGATTAGAACTCGATATACGCGCTTATCTCACGATAGTTAGGTGATAGATATTTGATAGCAAGGACAACAAAGACATAAAATGTGGTACTTCATTGCAGACTCATATGCAATATGATTTTACATACGATTCGATGTTATCGATTTTCGAGATGTTGTTATTTATTTTAAAAAACAATATAACTAC